TCTTCTGCACACATATACACACTCTTTCCCCACAAAACCCTGCTTGAATGACAGCTACCTTTTCTGGACCACAAACAACTTTTACTTGAACAAAGGGATAAGAAGTAAAAGAAACTATATCAAATCTACTTACAATGACCAACCCCGCTGAACATTTAATGGGAATATGGATGTCAAAAGTCCAACAAGAACAAAACAAACTTTTTAAAAACTGAATAGAGGATTGCCGTAGGAGATCTTTCTGTAAGATGGTTTGAGTTTGGGGAAATTGACTTTTGAAGACCAATTTATAAGGCTTGAAACAAGAAGGGACTAATTCCCAGAGACAGAAGTTAAGTAGGGAATGTGATATTTTTCAGGACACAAATTGGCTTCGATTTGGGATGGCCATCTTTAGCTCGGAGTGCCTGTCCGTTTCCAGGGGACACCGTTGCCAAGGAGAGCCATAGCAACGGTCTCTAGGGAGTCTTACCTGTCATTCCTTAGTTGTTTTAGGGACCAAAAGACCAAACATTTTTATTGCTGAGGACTTGTAGCTCTAATATACTCGGACCACTGCATCTCTTTCAGTCAGTGTTAACTGGTTGAGCGGTTGCACTTAAAAGAAGTGTACATTTCGAATATATACAACACTTGTATATATACATATATATTGCTGATATGCTTTTTGAATACAGGCAAAACTATTTCCGATGACCAAATGGGGTCTCTCACTTCGCTAGTTTACAATTACTCAAAATGTTTATTTTTTTCTCTTCTCATTTTGTCTCGGGAGGGATGGCGAGTGCATGGGAGGGGCTGCTCCGTATCACAGCCTTATCTTTTTTAACTTGACATCCTAACCTCATAGATAGAATAACATCAGAAGCGTTTGAAATATAGGAACTTGTTTATATTTGCAGTACATATATATGTATAACAAGCATTCAAGCAAATGCATTCATATATACAATATATATGGATAAATAGATATTAATCACAAATATATGTATTTATATGCACATATTTTATATATGTGTGTCTGTATATAGAGCGGCTACTGACTATGTTGAGCTGTAATTTTTTGTAGATTTTAGCTGGAGTTTGAAACATTGCTCTGCTTGGGAAGAATCGCAAATCTGGCAGCTCCCAAAACTGCAGGCATTCCTATCTCTGATTACCTATATGCTGACACACAATATATTGATAAAAGATACATGTGTGAAAAGTACACGTATGGTGTAAATATTATCTGAAAATGCAAAAAGCCACACCTAAGTAGCAGGCTTTAAGAGAATCAGGCTAAATGATTTTAGAGGAAAAGGACAATTATCTTCGACTCTATTCCAAACATATCTTTTGCGCTTTCACACACACACACACACACACACACACACACACAAGCTAACACAAACTTCTCTTTGAAACTTGAACCAAAACAAATACGTCTCACAACCCTTTGCTCTCTTTTGCATTCAGTAAAGTGCATGTAGCGTATGGGCTGTCACCATGTCAAGGTGTGCCTTGTCACCTGCAGAATCTGCCATCAAGCACTGTGCTCTCAGAAAACAAAGAAAAAAAAAGAAACACAAACAAACACACTACTGCAAGCAGCCAACGCGCTATTATGATGTCAAAACTACAGCCAGATCCATATCATTTCTCAGCCATGTAGAGAGCTGCAGTGCATGTCCTATATAACAAACCACCTGACCACTGTTGGTCCATTGCTGTCTTTGGGGAAAAAATACTTTTGGGACTCATGCATATAAATGTCAGATAAAAGCGGGCATTAGGGAACCTGTGAGCACAGGTGCTAACAATCTGCTGTTCCACTGGCTGGAGTCAAAACTAGGCTAAAGGTGAAGGTTGCGATTGACATGGCTTGATGAAAGTAGTGATCGAGCTTACTGGACCTGACATTCGCTCATTTTAATGGTTATGACGGTGATGTAATATTGATGAATATGTTATGACTGCAGAGCTGGCTTCCCACAGGGCAAGGGAGAAGGTTCTATGTTCTTTTTCATCCAGCAGTAAATGTGTGGATCTCTGTTGGTAGAACTTGACAGGAAGCATATTGTCTTTAGCAGATGTTATATTGCCTAATGTCATATGTCCTCATACAATTAAATACAAACACAAAAGCATAATGAAACTGAAGAATGAAGCAATAAGTGTGAAAAGTGAGTCATTCATTACAACTGTTGTATCAGAGGCTGGTTTCATATTGTTTTAGTGTAGTTTCTCATAGTAGTCGACAAAAATGGTACACCAACTACGTACCTGCAAGGTCAACAGACTTGGATTTATTGGAACTCGCGTTCAACAAATATTCAGCTGGTGGAGATTACTCAATGAATATTTATACACATGAATATTTATAAGGCTATATGACACTTTAGAAGACAATGCTTCCTGTTGGGTGCTGTTACTAGTTTTCCTGTAAACTGCTCATTATGCCATTTCCCTGGTGTCTGTGTCTAACCTTTTTAGCAGATTGCATAATTTAACATTTACCTTCCAAATCCAGTGAGGGTAAAAGACGCCACAATCACATCCCCGGAGGCCTCTGTTTGTGTGTGCCACATAACAATGCTGTGAGCATGGCCTGTCGTGCCAGCCAGTTGACCATCACAATCTTCGTTTTCTTTCGCTCTCACAGAATCCATGGTGGGTTAGTACAAAGCATATTGTACATCCACCTGAGCTGTATTTGAGTTAACAATAACAACTGAAACTAAATGTCATATGTCTGGTATCCCTGATCGCCACACTGTGTGCCCTCTCTGACTGCCCCCCGCTGCTGAGAAAATTGAAAAATGTGTCGACACGGTCTCTGCTTTTCTAATGGTTTGTTTGAGCAATCACTCACGTCTTTCGCCAAACCGAGCCCACGTTTCCCATGTCGGGTGAAATAAGAAAAAAAGGGGGTAAGAAGAACAACAACGAGAAATAGAATGTCAAGCACCTCATCTCCATTTGCTCCAACTTTGAGCTGCAAGTTTACACTGGAAAAGTAAAAACAAAGAATAGTGGTTCAAAAACAACAAGAAACAGAGCAGAAGTTTG